TTGCCCTAATTTGATGTAATCTTGCCCACTTTTTAATTTATGATTGAGCTCTGCGTTGATCGATTGATTTTGATGTGCGAAATTCATGAAAACATGCATAAATTGATGATTCTTTCGTGGTTGGTTTTAGGGTTTAAGCTTTGATTTTTTTCTCTCAATTTGATGAACAGAAACCGATTTGTGTGTTCTATATGGATTTGCAGGACCTCAGGCTAAGTTCCATGGTGTGGTATACACAGTATCTTAGATGGGTGTTTCTCTTCTGAAACAACAACATCGTATTACAAATCAAGCTGATAACTTTTCTCGATTTATGGAACGATCATCGGAGAATCTAAGCCGAAATGAGCACATCATTGACATACCAAGAAACGCCGCCATTGCATCCTCTTCTTCTAGCCCTTCTCATGATAGAATCTTAAACGTTTTGGAACCTTTACACCATGAGGAGGAGAGACCTTCTTCTACAGTTCCACCGATCCCTGTTTCTCAGCCTGCTACAACTTCTTCTTCGTCTTCTATGCGGTCAAATCCTAGAAGCATCCGTCGCAGAAGAAGTCCTTTGAATTCTGGTCTATGGATTTCCATTGAACTATTACTTACTGTTGGTCAGATCATTGCAGCCATTGTCGTTTTGTCTTTGTCAAAACATGAGCATCCACGTGCACCGTTGTTCGCTTGGATTGTGGGTTATGCCTGTGGATGCATTGCAACACTCCCGCTTCTGTACTGGAGATATTATCATTCGAATCAGGCCTCTGAACATGATTCTGGTCAGCATCGTCCTAATCTTAATGTTGCAGCAGGACCGTTCGCTTTCTCGATATCCAGGACATCTGAAGGAGATGGTCGACAGACCAATACCGCGTCTTCTCGTGGTAGTAGATATCCTGGGTTCGTAAGTGCTGCCAGGTAAATATCTTAATGCGTACTTGTTCTTAGATGATCTGTTTCAATCGGAAGTTTTAACTTTCAAGTTTGAATTATGTTTTCTCAAAGCTTTTCTTATTCTCTAGAACGGAGAGTTTAGATGTCTCTTTTGTCGGGACATCTTTCTTTGTGTTGACAATGTCCGTTGTCTGCCATATTAACTACTGCTACTCATAGTAACTGATTCGAGTCTTTGATTTTGGCTTCCAGACTTAAAGTTATTGTGGAATACTTCAAAATGGCTCTGGATTGCTTCTTTGCGGTGTGGTTTGTGGTAGGTAATGTGTGGATATTTGGAGGGCATTCATCTTCTTCTGAGGCTCCTAACTTGTACAGGTACTATTCTTTTCGTTATTCCGAAATTAGACTCCAACCTGAGGCTCTGATATTTTCCAAAGACTGACCCATGTATATGTTATCTTATATGTTATAGGTTATGTTTAGTGTTTCTTACCTTTAGCTGTATTGGCTACGCGATGCCCTTCATCCTCTGCACTACAATATGTTGCTGCTTGCCGTGCATAATCTCAATTCTCGGTTATAGAGAAGATTTAACTCAACCTCGAGGTGCCACACCTGAGTCGATAAATGCATTGCCGACTCATAAGTTTAAGTTGAAGAAAAGCAGAAGTAGTGGGGATGACAATGGTTCAAGTACTGGCGAAGGTGGAGTTGTTGCAGCTGGAACAGATAACGAACGTGCGATTTCAGGAGAAGATGCCGTGAGTTAGCTTAGACTTTGTCTCT